AAGTATGCTAAACCAATTTCACGTATTACGTATATTTGTACCGATCTGTTATGTGGTCTGCTGTCCAAAATAGTATGTAGAAAAATTTGATCCGATTTGAATTGAATAAAGATCAAGGGATTTCCTGTTTTCTACCAAAGCTCAAAGCTAACAAGTATTTTAACAAGTTTGTCTGTTGCCGCAAAGCTTTGCAGTGACAAGTATACTGAGTGATTTTACACTCTACTCGTATGAGTATTTGGATTTGTAAGATTTTTATCCTATTTGAGAAACTGGAGATTTTCTCGCAAAAAAAATTCAACGAAAACCATGAGGCAAGCTGAGACAATATTTTTCCTTTTATTCTTCTATCACCAGAAGAAGTATTTACCTTTCTTTCATGCTGTCGACAGTACAATCTAAATCAAATAATAAACTATACCTTCACCTAAATTACTTTCGTGTCGAGGGACAACAAATGTCTGACCATTAACCCATTCACTAAAATAAAATCACATCAGCACGTATGTAACTACGAAATCCGTATTGATAAAGTCATTAAGTCAGCAACGCTGCACCTGTTCCACTTTCCCTTCCCAATTTCCAGATTTCGGATTGTCCATTCTCTCCGGAAACCACACGCTGTCACAAATTCCGTTTTTGGTGACATTTACCACCAAACCACCATCCTCACGTTGTATAATAGACGCGTTTATGTATTTCCCTTAATCAGGCAGATAGTTCATACAACAGGACGGAAAACCACTTCCTCGGTTTACAAATCGTGAATCATTGCGTGTCAGGTAATAGGGAGGATATTTTGTATGACATCGCTCTTAAGTTAAATTGGGCTCCTATTGTGCCATTATTATGCCTCCTCTTCCTTCTATTTTGGGATGAACACATTTAAAACATGGACAAACAGCAAGTGTAAATATTCCCATACGACAAACCAAAAAGCTTACTCGGTCGCTTTTCCTGTTTCTTATTCATTGCTTCTGAAAGAGACAGCTTTTCCGGTTCAGTTGACAAAAAAATGCGCGAGCTACTTTCTCCTCTCTTTTTTTATCAAGTGATGTGCTTATTGCTTCCCATTCAATTGAATAGGCTTCGTTTTCCAAGCCGTGATTGATTGATAGCGTGTATATTGACAGTATGCCGTTGACGATGTGATATCGGATTTAATCAAGCAAATCCATGTGAATCGTGTTGAAAGAAGGTTGAGTCAACTTTCACCCTAAAAAACGAACACTACGCCGTCGTCACTGGAGAAGTGACTGTTTTTTTACTTTTACATCTAACAAGATTCTAGGAACAGATTGAAATGGAAACGCGAGACGGCTCAAATGTCGATGGTGTTTTGTCAAAATTATTTCCAATTGGATTGACCACATGAAAATAAAGTGGATGAGACAATTTAATCCAATCGTGTGTCCTTATCGGCCACCCTTATCTCGAGCAAATGAAGGGTTTAGCAATGGAGTGGATTGATTGATATATGTACAAACAGAGAGTATTTTGCTGGCTACGCAGAAACGTAAAAGTGGACCACTTAATTAAACCGTGACACTTTAAGACGGGCGAAGAGATTGTTGGACACTGACCAATTACGGGATTAGACTGAAGACAAAACCACGGTGAAAGTCAAGGCAACCAAAGATTTCCACTGATTAAATCTGCCTGTCGCAATTTACTACGAGATTTAGACGGGCAGAGTAAATGTTGTCATTACTCTTAGGGACGAGAGAAAGTTGTAAAGAGAGAGATAATCTGGGTGAGAAATATATAGTGTCACCTGTATCGTACACAAATTTCGAGAAGCTTGAAACTTGCTGGTATCGTGCAGCTTTGATTATGACTTCCTGTGCATTTTGCATGAATCTGCATACTCATAAAACCAACCAGAATTTAGAGTCTCTCTTTGAATGGATTGTCACCTCAAGCTTCGTTGTCGACAAAAATTTTCCTGGCTTTAGAAGAACCGGAACTGTGCACGGAAATGGTTTGCTCTTTGTGCAGGAAGTTGGTTGAAAATGATACTGCTTTTAAAATGCGAGTGTAGGTAGAATAACCCTTTTCATTCAAACCTGCACAGCACAACTTGCCCCAATAATAATATGGTCACCACAGTGAATAGCACAAATCGGTTGTGAGGCTTTGTTTAGCCATGATTTGCATATGGCAATTAAAAGCCGTGAAATGTAATTCTTCTTCGTCATTCGGCCGTGGCGGAGAAAGCATTCAGTCGAACGCTTAACCACTCATTGCTTATCATTACTATGCAAATGAGCAGAGTGAACCACTTCACTCCTTTTCGTGATAATTCGTGTGCTTTATTATCTCCAGAGAATAGTGCTTTGATAACCGTGGAGTCTTGCATGGATTGATTTATGCGTTGTGGCCAGTTCATGCCCAGTTGTCCATGACGAAGAGGAGCAAATGTTGGTGTTCATCTTGTGGAGGTTTGCAAGTGTTTGTGGCGTAATAAACGTATGTATGCATTTGGATGGATGGTGAATGAATATTTAGATTAATGTCTCAATACGATTTGAATATGAACTCGTGGCTATCTGAATTTTAGTCATCGGACGCACTTTGGGGAATGAAAATAAACAATTTCTGGAAATTGAATTCGGATTTATGGTGAAGTGCTGGGTGGTGAAAGTGGTTATTTTAAGGTAATAAGGTTTTAATTCGCATTGTTATGATCTTGAATGCAAAGTGTACTTTCATAAGTTTTATTTTTAAAAAATTATAAAAATGAACGATAAATTCTCAACAAAATTTTAAAACAAATTACAATCAATTTTGACTTGCTCGATTATACAGATAGTCTCCATTGCAGAGGGTCTTGTATTTCAGAGAGTCTCTGCAATAAAATAATAAATATGCCATAATCTCCATGCCACACAAAATTCTAGCTCAACTTCATAATCAGAGGGCGGATATGTATGTATTTCTAACTTTTTCATTCCCAATCAGATCTTACTATAACTTCGTATACACACATCCTATCGAAGCATGATTTCAAAAATTGAAACATGGTTTTCCATATTTTACATATTTTAGGGTTTTCGTACATATACATATTTTCATACATATTTTGAGGTTTTTTCGTAAATACACATATTTTCCTACATATTTCGAGCATTTTCTAAAAATAAACATTTTAATGCATATTTCAGTTAATGCATATTTCAGGATTTCCTGAGGAAAAAATATTTTTCTTCATTCAGACGTTAAAGTTGGATAAAAATTATACTTTCATGATAACGGAGTTTAATTCGTGTAAACGACTAGAAAATCCATTTTGCCCCATTTTTCAAGTCATAAAATTGCCCCTGAAAATCTCTAAATATGGCTAATGTCGTTTTACGGGTCATTACATGAATATTAAAATACAATACATAATAATTCATTAATAAGAGTGTTACAAATTTGAAACTTTTAGAAAATTAAATGCAAATATAGTAGAAAATTTCGGTTGAAAAATATGTTTTACGTGCATATTTTCGCGTTTTTTAAGTACATATTACATACATATTTTGAGGAATTTAAGTACATACATATCCGCCCTATGTTCATAATATTGACAATCCACACCAAAAAGTGCACAGGTGGCAGTCGCACATCAATAAAATAAAATAATGTCATATGAGGAACGTAAAATAAGGCTTATTTTTAGAAAACCAATAAAGTTGGGATTTTCAACTAAACAAATCCTTTGAATTTAAAGTCGTACGCTTTCTCTCCGCAAATCAGTTTCAATGAGGAGTATCTAACGAGCATATATCTATTATACGGAGGGATGGATAATAAGAATGGGATAACGTGGCGTGTTTCATTATAACCGAGTGTATGTACATTCCTACTGCGAAAATGGGTGGCTCAAACTTTTTATTAAAAATTCAAACCTTTTTTGTCCATTTAAAAATTGGGTCCCAATATAGACTTCGTTATGCTGTGGTCCTGAAGGTTACATATTTATTATGTCACCAGCTGTGTGAACACAGCGGACATTACCACCATCAGCCGCAATGAACATTACTATAAGTCAACAATAAAATAGGGAGGATTACTGAAGAAGATCTAAAAAGGCAACCATCGGTACTTCCAAGCCCTTCCAAGTTACAATGGCAAGGTTCCCCGTCTGCAATCCTGGATATTGAAGACTTTAAAGTTGTAAATTCAAATTAGTGTAGGGGAAATAAAAGCAGTCGGACTTTTTTATGGAATTTGTAAATCAACGCAATATGCGAACATCTCTTAGGCGTTGAGTTCATTTATTACCTAGAATTTACTAGCGACGATCTACCAGTGAGGACAGAAATTTTCAACTATATATTAAAGTTTTTATCAGAAATGTTATCGATACAATCTCATGGAAAGGTGTATAGAAATTATGAACCAAGATATACATTTATTTACATATATGGGTAAGTACAGTAAAATTACACTAGCTTGCTATGAATAAGTATTGAAAATAAATTAATTTCCTTAATGTGTTTGTATGTACAATATTCATGTGTTACGTACAGGTGATAATTTTTACCACAAGAAATATGTAACGGGTAAAATTTTCAATTGCTGCCTAAATTATTGAAGAATTTTTTTTCCTTTGTATAAAATATCTACATAAGCCAATAGCTAAAATTAATTAAATCAAGAATTTGCGTAGATATGTCCATCAATTTTGTTAACATATGTACACAGTAAGTAACAAAGGCCTGTCACCAGCATTCTGCTATTTAATGACAATACTAATTAAATTCCTCCAGGCAAATTAATTTGTCAAAATTGCCTTCCTATGAAGTAAGGGTTGACGTTATCTCTAAATTCGGCAACCCCACAAAGTACATATGATATGATGCAAACCATATAAATACATATTTGCATTGTCATTATTTTAGATAATTTAATGAAATGATAATATTTTTTTAGATATTTAAGTCGAAATAAAAACAGTAAATGAGAAAATTATTTTACACAATTTATTCTTCACCTTCCACGAATTACGTTCTTCTTGCCATTTCGTCCCCTCCAAAAATGAGCGAATCCAGAACAACCCAAAATTTTAGAGCATTTGCCAAGTTCGGCTCTTTTTTCGCAAGTTTTCCCTATTACTTTTCTACCGAAAAAACAGTCAAAATCCCATTTCTCCTTAAACTTTACTGCTACGGAATTTTCTTGCTTTCTCTAATCATACTTGTGCAAATTACACCAGATTACTTGGCAAATCTTCAGTGGAAAACTACTTCAACTCGTCCCACAGATAATTTCTGTTTCACCTCCTTCATCGCCATATTTTTTATAGTTAAAATAGTTTCCTATGTTATTTGTCTCCTAAAAAATAGAAATATTGTCAAACTTCTAGCATACTTTGATTCATATGATGAGGAATCCCACTTTGACACTAAAAAGAACATAAGTCCGATCGACTTCCATTTTTGGGGTTTATTGACAGGCTCATTGATCACAATTGTTGGAAATTATCTCGTCGCACGGCATCAATTTGTTGTAATTTTGTCCTCAGATAATGCAAAATATTACTTGGTAACTTTGCTTTCTTGGGGAAATATCGACATTGCAATTTTCTTAAACTACGTAGCACACTGCTTTTGTGAGGTCTCTTTCATCTTTCACATGTGCACGCTGGTGTACTTTTTGCGATGTTTGAAGCAAAAAATGATCGCTCTGCAGAATCAAATTGTAGAAAAAAATTTAGCGAATGATAAAGTTGTGGTTTTTGAAAATATGTTATTATCTAGGAAAGTATTTCATATTAATAAAATACCTGGATATGAGAAAGCTGTAGTAGGATTTGAAAATCCAGTGGAAAAGCTGCAAAAACTTGTCAGAATTATGAGAGAGATTAATTGTTTTTGTGGCGAATTTATCTTTGTATTCATAAGTTTGACGTTATGCATGGGAATAGTTTTGCTATATGTAATCATAACTTCGCTAATTTATATGGCAACTGCCGACAGAAACCTGGAAATTATGAAACTTGGCATGTTCGCTCTGACGACGGTGTTTCTTTTTTCAGCATTGAAAGTTGCGGTTTTAGTTAATGCTGGCGAACAGTTGAAGAATGTGGTAAGATTTTTTTTACATTATGCTTTACATAATATGATGTTTTTATTGTGTATTGTTGGCATGGGATGCCTAAACATTTTCAAATATGTATGCACCAAAAAATTATGTACATTTCCTTGTTATGTATCAGAGACAGAATTTCATCTTTAACTTGGATATGATACGACATGAAAATATTCACCAGATTTATGATGATAATACCGTCGGGGATTTAAAGCAATTGATTAAAAACCATAAATTTGAAATAAATGCTTGCGGCTTTTTCATAGTGAACCGAAAATTGGTTGTAGCGGTGAGAAATAAATATGTTTGAAATATATTTTCCAAGCATAAAATTTTTAGTGAAATGTTAACCTCGCGTAATTTACATCCTTATATTTCTTAGATGATTGGATCAATGATATCTTTCATTGTTGTGCTCGTCCAATTTCGCTCCACGGAATGAAATAAATTGAAAGTCATGATTTCTTGATTATATAATAGAAGGCCGAAGATGGATAATTTAATTAGTTAAGATCTTTCGACAACTCAAAAAATTGAAGCATAGTAATTTTCCCTTTATATTGTGCAATTTTATTATGTTAGACATTTGTTAAGATGCATAATTTGTGCAGAGCGACGCTATCACCATTCCAGACTCATTGTACATAATTTGGTCCTTAGCATTGTGATAAAATAATGAATTTTTGTTCAGTTTATTTCATTACAAAACCTTCAATTGTTATCACTTGATCTTTAGAAAGGACTAATTGGCAAACTGTATTATTTCAATAACTAATAAGTAAATTTGACACACCCAGTCCTCAAACTTGGACAAAACCTAATTTCTAAAGTCTCAAAATTTATAAGACAATCATAAACTCTTAGTAATTGCTCCAACTAATTAGGATTAGTTTTCCTAGTTTATTTTTCAGACCCTTGTCAAGTAATCATTGCACGAAGTCTATTAATCTGTTCTAAAGCAAATGGAGACCATCATTGCTTTCAGCCTACATAAATACGAATAAAGTAAATAATTTATTTTCATGGAGAATTTGCATAGGGAGTGTTTGCTATTTTTCTGTTTATGAACGTGTACATGTATTACATTATGTACATTGTACATATGTACATGGTATATATATATGTATGTTCTTCCTAAATAAATACTAGAGTAGAGCAAGGAAATGTGAACAAGTCTAAAATAAACAATAATGCTGTAATTAATTAAAGAGATATCAGGACAAAAATAAATTTACATCACATTATATAACAAGCTTATGTATCAGTAATTATTGCGATCACTTAATTCGTGTCTTGTTCAATTTATTTATGTACATATTACCTTCTGGTGTCCAATGTCTAATTGCATTGACATCATTATAGCACTTAATCGAATCAATCTGCAAACCTATAAGATAAGCGAAAATATGTTCTGTCATTGCCAACTTGTCATCGATAAGTGATGTCCAACGTTCACGGTCAATCAGTACGAGACATCTCTCACACCTCTGCAGGCAAACATTCTGCTGCTTTCTTCCTGGATTTGCACAAAGTTCAGAGAAATATTTTTTGCAAACATGAGACAATCTTTAGCGATTGGGTTAACCATCTTGTCAACTTTCCTGGTTGCAAATGCAACTCAAAATTTTGTCTTTCCTAGTGATCAAGCAGGACAAGAAAAATTGTGGAATGATACAATTCAAGCGATTTTGAAATTTAAGGAAGAGTTCGAATCCAGAAGTCCAGCAGACGTTTTGCAGGCGGAGGACGGAGATGCATCGTTGACTGTGGTAGGTACAGGTAATTTTGTATCGTCAATAGTAATTTTAAATAAAAAAACTTAATCTGCACAGCCAGAGGTTATCCTGCGATATGGATACCCTGTCGAAGTTCACAATATTACGACGGAGGATGGCTACATAATTCAGGCCCACAGGATACCGTACGGTTTAGCGTGTGGTGCAGTTAATGAGGGTTCGCCGAAAAAACGGGTCGTGTGGATGCAACACGGACTGATGGGAGACTCTTCTAACTGGGTCATCACGGGGAATAAGAGTAGAGGATTGGGTATAGGATTAAGAAAAATCAGTAGTACGAAAGAGGTCAATTTTTGTCAAGGTTGAAATCTAATGGAGACATAATATTGCAGGATTCGCCTTGGCCGATGGTTGTTACGATGTGTGGATGGGTACTGAAAATATTCCATAAATTTAATTACGTTAAACTGATCAGTTAAGAGAGAATAACCGATAATTTAGGCAACTATCGAGGAAACACATACTCCACGATGCATACAACTTTACTCCCAAGCCAGCCCGAATTTTGGGATTTCTCGTAAGTTTTAGGATAAAAACGGGTTTCAAAATTATACAATTTTTTAAGCGCCTTATCAAATTTCAAGATGGCACGATCTTGGCATGTATGACATCCCCGCTGGCATCGATTACGTTCTTAATCACACCCAAGCCGAGTCTCTCTACTACATTGGTCACTCCATGGGGACGACGGGCTTTTTCGTCACGATGTCTGAAAGACCGGAATACAACGCCAAAGTTAAACTTATGTCCGCCTTGGCGCCAGCGTTATTCATGTCGCACTCGACCTCCGTCATCACTCGGCTCCTGGTAGAATTATTTGTTCCAATAATTGACCAAGTCCCATACGTTGAGGCATTTCCGATCGAGTGGACGAAAGACTTGGCGGCAGAGCTGTGCAAACGAGGCGCGCCGACGCAACCACTCTGTTCCATAATATTATATCTCATCGGAGGTAAAAATGAGCCCCAATTGGATTTGGTAAAAATAATTTTAACTGACTCTAGAATTGGAAGAAAAAAAAATATTTTTTACTCGATTTATCATCTATTTCAATTTATTTGTGTAGGATAGTTTGCCAGCGATTCTTGGCCATTCGCCGGCCGGATCATCAACTAAGACGTTCATGCATTACGGCCAAGGTATAGTGTCCGGGCAATTTGAAAAGTTCAATTATCGCGGTGCAAACCCTGATAAATATAACGGCTCTCTAACTCCGCCAAAATATGATCTTGGAAAAATTACGACACCGATTGCGATTTATTATGGGGATAACGACTTTCTGGCCGACCCGCAGGTATGCAAATCTATCCCATTAAAGTTCGGCGGTCCTTAAAAAGTCATACCAAACTTATCTTTGAACTTAGGATGTGCTACGTGGAGCACGAGAATTTTCGACACTAGTCAATTTGCACAGGGTAAATGACACCCTCTTCAGTCATTTGGATTTCGTATGGGCATTGGATCAGGGAACATTGATTAACAAGCCGGTCATGGATTTTATGGAAGAATTTGCTAACCGCCTACCACCAAATGGCGTGGCTGGAAGGGTGCAGTTTATGAATGGTTTACTATCGATGACCGTTATCCTTGTAATAAATAAAATGTTGTAATTTGTATTTACATGATAAATATTTGAAAATAATAGGAATAAACTTATGTGTAATTAAGCAACGCATACTAGTCGTCGTTATATTAATATTTAGGGGAAGTATGTATGTAGATATGGAAATCTTTGGAATCATATAATAATTAACTGTTGAATTGCTTGATAAAATTTTGTGCACTTTACCTGTCTCAAAGTTGTCTCGTGGAACAAGATATAGGTGGTCTCACTCGTTAGACAAAGTCAAAGAGAGTGGAATTCTCACACATCTATCGGCTTTGTACTAACTTGTAAAAAAATTATGACTTTGTAAATAATTTGTGTCTATTATTTTTTGTTGATCAAATCGGTCGTATAGATTGAAATATACTCATTTGCGTTGAATATATGTAGTAATTACAGTATTGCCGAGTCGAAATATGCCTTTCACCTGCTTTCTCTTTAAAACAAGTACGCTTAAAAGTAAAACAACGAACAGTAAAAAGTGTGCAGAATCTCTGCGGGGATACGTATGGAAGTCCATAAGAAAAACGTATGGGTGTACCTTGTACTCCTTGTGAATGCATATATGTACATACGTATGAGGTGCTGCAGTTATCTTAATCGGAATAATTTTTACTAAAACAGGGTGGAATTGATAAACTAAATGGTCAGTTTAATATAGAAGATATTTCTTCTGAGTTTCATCTTTCCAACTAAAACTGTAAAATTACAACTAAACAACATTCAGCATTGCAATCCCGGGAATTTGACGATGAAAAAATCTTCAGTAGTGTTATAGCAGACGAAATGTGAAATACTAGTTTGAAGTAATTAAGATTGACGTGGTTGTTCATAGTGAAATAAGTTTAAAAATGAGGATATCCTTAATCACGATACTAATTAAAGTACAGCCTCACTAACTAGATATAGACCAATTAATGGTATTATTTAAATATGTATTTTGATTTGGAAACCAGTTTATTTAAGTTGAGAATTGTTGAAAGGATTACTTGATTCTACTTAAATTAACATATCCAATCCATACAAGCTTTATGGAAAAATTCTTAAACAATGAAACTATGAGTGCGAGTGCTAGGAAGACTAGGAAACTTAATACCATGCCCATAAAACACATGGATACTTAATCAAATCCAGTTCACATTGGGTTGAAATTAAAAAAAACAAATTAGATTATACATACGTACATAAATATGTATGCAAATATGTATGTACATTAGTACAGTACAATAATTAAGGTCCCTATTTCCTGGCAAGTACATAATACAAGAAAAATCACAAAACAGTCATTAATTAATTGATATAATTCTTTTACTCCTTATTTACATAGTTCTTATGACATGCGGATTGGAGGTTGTCCTATTATTGGTCATATGTATATACATACTTTCCGTTATTAAGTCGAGTTTGTGGGCATATTGCAAATAGTGTCCGATTGAAAGCATGTATGTACATATGCAACAGTATCCTTATATCAATCTAATTTGGCTTTGTGGACAGAACTAATCGAGTGATGAGTTTTGTAAATGAACTGTCCATACAAGATGCGTCTGCTCATCAAACGACCATAAATGAGGTAATACTTATTCTTCCGATTCACGCTTCATTTGATTCATGGAGGGAATGAGGAGACGAAAACAGATAGCAAACATTGATAAAAAGTGTATGTATGTTATCTCAGTTGTAATATCTGCCATGACTGACGGAGGGGATGAAAGCAGACTCATCAGATAAGGTACAAGGAATGCACAAACAGCAAAATTATCCAGCTTTAAAACAACGGATGCTAAATAGATTGCATCGCTTTAATTAAAGCCTCCCCATCCCTACTAATCCCACATGAGCCTCTCAGTAAATTAGGGCGAACTGGACGTTGGTATAGCACATCTATTTACTAATATTATTAAAATGTAATTATTTTGAAACTATATATTCAAAGTTCGAAGGCTGGGCTGATATCCCAATCCAGTCATTCATTCATAAGTAGATGCTTAATTACTCTCGATCCAATTTCAAATATTTCTATTCCAAACTCCGTCAAATATCTATTCAACAAAGGACAATGGCTATAGTTAAATTAGATGTGTAGATGACCAAATTATTTTATTAGTTACATATACCAAAACCTCATTGTGTTTCACCCCAAAGGCGATTATGATACAATTGACTTAAATAAATTCCAAGCCACACCAGTAATTCTATTAGTGTAAGATATATTTCATTCGGATTGAGATTTTATTATTAGGATTTATGAGTCAATAATTAATAAATGAGTATATCATACACATGCCAAGTCGAATCTATGCTGTGCACTATTTTTTTACAGGATTCATTGATCAGAGTATGACTTGGGTGAAAGAGTTTTCTCTTTTTCTACTTGTGATTGACTGATTGAGTTTACATATGTACATAAATTAGGGTGGAGAAAGTTGTGATCTTCGGATTAGTTTAAACACGTTTAATGCCAATATTAACTACTCTTATCACAAAATTCATGGGCTAATTTCATGTGACATCGCATGTCCGCATGAGATATATAGCCATGAAATGTTTCTATGCATGAAATCTACAAACTGGAGGATGTGTATGTGATGGAGATTCTCTTGAATATGTTTCATCTAGTGCTCAAATGGTGTAGTGGCTATCACATCTGCCTCACACGCAGAGGGTCCCAGGTTCGAACCCTGGTTTGAGCAGATTTTTTGGCAAAATTTTTGCAATTCAATTTTTTGGCACATTTTTTCGCAAAACGATAGTCAGTCGTTTGCAATATCAGTGAAAATGTATGGCAAATTGGACCATGAAGTAATATGTGCGTAAGTATGTACGGAAAATATAAACATACTTACTATTAATTAAACATTGAATACGTTTTTGTAACACCATCGGAGTTATTTCAGTGTGTACATAGATACCCAATGCGTTGAAATATTACGTGATGTGATGATGCAAAAACTATGTCAAAACACAAATCGTGATTTTGTAAGTTAATGCTGACTCCAATGATGAAGTTCACTAACTCTTGAATATGCAAATTTTTGCACTCTTGAATATGCAAATTTTTGCATGACGCGAATACTTATTTTCAAAGTAATACGACTTTGAGTCAAATCAAATGTTAAATTTTATCCTCAGATTAATACTCTCATTAGTATTAAATCAATATCATTTCAATAAAACCATTTTCAAAATCAACAAGTGACTCATTTTTGCAACTACCGGATATGTCATGCATACATATGCACATGTACTTACTACAACTGCATGAAAAATAATACGCGCAACTTTCATCGTACGATTATTTGATTTCTCTTTTATTTCTCTGCATTATTTCATACAATTTTCATGAATGAATGTGTGAATATGCAACATGAGACGAATATTGAGTGAATTACCGAGCTTTTAACACGTCTAGAATGAAAACATTTTGCGTTAGAAACTCCGTGCAAAATAAACAATAGCAGTAAATTTTTGCAAAAAATTCTGCTCGAACCAGGGTTCGAACCTGGGACCATCTGCGTGTAAAGCAGATGTGATAACCACTACACTATTCGAGCACGCGGTAAAAGAGACGAGTTATTACATTCCCAAGCTCGGAGTGGATTTTTGTGATGTTTTTGCAATATTGCGAACTAACAGCTACGCATTTGCAAAAATTGTAGAAGCACAATTTCAATTTCAATTTACCTTTATTCAAATGTTAGTCACATTCAGTCTATCATTCAGATAAGACTGGACAGGGGCTGGATATTAGTGTGATTTGAGTGAAAAATGAGCATGCAGACATATATATTTCCTAGCAATATTCCTTATCCATATAATTCTAAATTTTTAATAGCAACAGATTAGCATATACTTGTAATAATGGATGAAAGGCTAGGTATGGAAATTGTACCGGAATATTTAATATTTCACTATAATTTTTGTATGCAATTATTAGTTAAGCCAGTTACTTATGCCCAATTAATGTTTTACCAAGTTATTGTGTGCAAAAGTTTTTTGACGATTTTCGTAGAGAATTTTATTTTTGTTTTAATTCTGCAAAATGGCTACAAATTATGAACCGGATACAACAAAATCAAGGGAGGTCTGATAATTTTTACTTTATTAGGTAGAATACTTCTTGGATTTACTTAATAATATATAGAGTAAATGAAACCATGATGCCCATTCAATGCATAAACTTAATAAATATATATATACTATTAACTATAGTATAAAAAGTATTAATTAAGCCCAAGTTGGTCAAGCCCTCTCTGTCACACACATATAGTAGCATTTATATATCTTCAATAGACTTAATTTTATTTACTTACAGATGTCCTCCTGTAAACCAAATCCAATAACATAATTCCCCCAAAGCTTTGTCGCTGATACTCTTATTTTTTATTCCATTTTCTCTCGAATCCACCAAATCAATTCCAAAGTAAACTGACACTGGCTGACAACTGAAGACCGGATTGGTCATAAAATACGAACATAAAAAATCGGCTGAAAAGGGTCGGTGAGGGTTGACACTAACCTGATTTGTTCTCCTACAATTGTTCCGTCGTATCAAGAGTACAGGCTGGTCGTCGTGGTCAATCTGATCGAAATTGAATAATACTTCAGGAAAGTGAAAGTTAGAATAAGTTATGTTTCTCTTTATATTTTTTATATTTGTAAAAGCTTAAACCGATTTTGGACACTCCAACACACCAGTGGGAATTTGTATTAAAGTGAAAGAGGCTTACTGTCAATCCCAAAAGATTCGGGTTTGTGTAGTATTTGGTAAGACTACAAATACACGTTGAAATTTCCAATAAGATTATTGCAATTTGATCCGATCAATTCTAAATAACTGAGTTAAGGAAGAGAACAAAATCAGTATTGGTATGTTGTTGTATGTACATACCGTACATAAGTTGAGGCAATATGAGACGAAATAAAGTTTATGCAATAATTTCACATAAAATGGCCAAATGAGGAATGCCCAAACCCAATTTATGATATGCCAGACGGCTGCAAAAATTAGCAATTGAGATCATCAAATAACGGAATAAAGTCATTATTGGCCAGGGTGTAAGGTGATATTCCACATGTTCCGTTCCGGGATGCAGCACTTATGAATGGCTGCAATTGGCTTTAGGAGAAAGTTCACGCTGCTTATATGTATGTACAATTCTATTGTATTTGAGACTTTTCAAACCAAAACCAATATTACCAAGTCTCAAAATTATGTGTGTATTAAAAATGTTACGCGTTAAAGTTGTGTAAAAATGAATGAAAAACTAGAATCACCACGCTCCCTTTCACAATTTGTTAGGTAAATGTTTATCCCATTATTCCATGTCAGGTAAGTATGTTGTATTGTATGACAGCACGCTTAAATTAAACTGACCTCACGCTATGCCATTGTCCAACGACTTTCCTCGTCATAACAAAGCCAACTATGACAAAGCTATATTTTCGTCGGACGAATTGGATGACTTTCTTAGAGTACATCTGATAACTTTGGTTTTTTGTCCATTGTGTGACACCCGAATTTTGGAAATCCACCCATTTATACTTTTAGACAAATAGCAAGTGTCAACATTCTCATGACAAAGGGGACAAAAAACTGGTCCGCTATCTTGATTCTCGTTCCGATTCATCGCTTGTGAAAATGAACAGCTTTTCCGGTCCAGCTGACAAAAAAATCACATCCGGGTCTTTTCCAAAAATCATGGTGCACTTTTTGCTTGCAACTGAATTAAATAAACTGGTGAAAGTTTTCAGTCGTCGTGATGGATGATTTCGGCGGTGTGTGTTATGCGAATGTTTTTTGTTGTGGTGGATCTAAGGATAAGTCTTCAAGTGTGATCAAGAAATTCTTGTGTCAGGCTTTCACGTTCTTAAAGTGGTGAATTTGAGATGGGAAAGTAAAATTTTGTATATTTTATCGCAGTGCTTTTTTATCCAGATTAAATAAAATAGACGAAAATCAGCAAATATTGCCTATTGCTCGCGAATGTTTGCCCACATGATTTCATCACAATCCGCTTTGTCATGAAGACAGTTTTTTTTAAGTTTGATACCTGACTTGGTATTCGTGATTTATTTTTAAATTTGCATGTGCAGCTTGAACCGCATGAAACGGGCCCCGGTAAAATAACCGGTGAAAGTCTTTCTCCCTCTACATAGTGAATTGGACGGTATGACTAATTCCGAATTTGCATATGTCAATTAAAACATCGTAATTTAATATTTTACTATTTTAGTCGGTGCCAGGAACAGACAAAGCTTTCGTGTTTATATCTTGCTCCCAATTTCCCATGGTTATTATGCAAATTAGAGAGATGGGTGGGTGAACCACTTCACTTTCTCTCCCTTAGTTTTAGACTCATTTACGAGAACAATTGGGCTTGTGCATCCAACACTTTCCTTGATTTATGACTGGATTCATATGCCCAGTTGACCGTGACGATATTTAAAGAGGAATTACTTAGCAGAGTGATTTTCCATGGTTGAACTGGTAGAGTTTATCCTGCTTTTGGTAACTTCCAAGTGTTTATTTGTAAGATAAACTGCTGATTCTAAATCAATTCCTATGTAGATACAATACATAGGTAGCATTTCAATATGAAATCCATTACCAGAATTAATATTGCACTTGTTCGGAGATACTCTATCAAACGAAAATAAACATTTTCTGGAAACTTTGATTACATCGTAGCTGTGTTTATTCAGTATGGTGAGTTTTCAATCCATTTTACAAGCTCAGGTAATTTAAAGTTGAATTTATGAATTGATAAATATATTATTTTACAAGTCCATTTTCTGAGAATTTATCTCCAAGAAGTCGTCATCAAGGAATTGCAAGTTTCCCAACCCAAAATTCCACTTTGAATGCAACTTTTATGAATTTGAGTTAACAATTTCCTAAACAATTACATATGTAACGTGATAGGATGCTTTTGATTTAAAAAATTATACGATTAAACTTCAAATGCGAACAAAAAATCAAAGCTTTGCGATTACACAGTTCAGAAATGATAACAATCCAAGTTTATGTACGAGTAGTCTAATCTCAATTCCTGCCTAAAAATTATGACATTTCGAATGATACCAATAACAAAACGGGAGTAATATTAATGTGTAGAAATATAAAAGTCTTAATTAAAGTGTGTTATTGTCTTCTCAATTCCTTGCTTATTATTAGTGCTATCATCACGCTGATCTAATGTCCTCCCCCTGTCGTCGTGGAGGCAGTGGTGCGATTACCATCCGAAATGCGTAATCATATTCTTTTTACACCCTCTCGTAACTTTTTATTGTTATTTGTCTCTGCTATTTTTAATGAGGCTTCTTATTTAATTGCGAGCTTAACTTTTTTACCCGGCTCGTTTCTCTTACTTTCATTTTGGCAGTTTCGTCCTAGCAAACATGCTGCCGTTTGGTTTCGGTAGCAAGCTCGAAGTGCCATTTGTTTAAGAAATATTTTAATCTAGGGATCAATTTTGCACCAAAATTTGATGATAAATTCTCACACAAATATTTTTATGTTTACTTAAAGCCCAAGTGCCACTAAGATTAAACGACCAATAATATCTTTATTTTCCAGAGTACTTATTTCTTAAACGTGCTTGCGACATGTCTCGTTCCGTCAAACCCATCGTCGTATCTTTGAAATTATTGCAAGGTCAGAAACTGTCAGATTTTACTCAATTTCGGAAAT